GCTTGCCCTCAAGTCGGACAAGTGCCTCTCCCAGTTTTTTTTCGTCTACGATATCAATTCTCACGCGAAATCAACGGCGCGTGCACGAACTCACCCAGTCCACGTAGCCAGCGGGACCTACGGCGCCCCTGACAATTCGTCGATCTCTTTGCCACTTTGCGGATAAAAAAATATGTGCACCGTGTTTGATCTCGTTTAACTTTCCGATAGTCGCGGATACCTGAGACGACGTGCTAAACAACTTCGTTTCGACACATCACAAAGTGGGGATTAGAGTGACACCCTGAGAAGAAAGTATTTGCAAATTTATTTTGAAAGTTTATTTCTACGAAACCCCACGAATAAATTTTCAATTTTTTCTCAGTATACACGCCATATTTTTCTTATCTTTTCCTATCAAAAATAACGACCCGAAATTGTAAAGACTGATGCAAGACTGTTTCTTGAAAATATTATGTTTGCCTTTTAATTGACTCTCCGTGTGATTTGTGGGTCATTCTAGGGTCAATCGATAAAGTATAGTTAACAGTACTATGCCTCCTTTCGTGTTTTGCGAGAAACAGAGAAAAAGATTATACACACTGAAGGCCACAACATAGTTTGAACAGAAAATAAAGATTTTGATTAATGAGAAAAGATTTCGCCCCAATTTCTTTTATTTATACAGAGGGAAAAAGTGGAAGTGACCATCGAGTCGCACCGCGTTAGCGGAAAACAGCGAGTCACATGGAGGGTCGATAAAATATTTTTAGTGAGACTTTTATTTTTCTGCTTCACAAAGACCCGTGAGTAACGGAAAGTCAAACACAAATAATGTGGCCCCTCGGTGCACGATACTACTGCTCAATAAGCGTAAATATATCCGAGAATGACCGAATATATACAGCGAAATTGAATTTGCGACGTGAAGGACGGATTTCACGGATAGACATCTGCGCGACGTATGACTCGATATGAGCGTTGTTCGCTTCGACAGATCGATATTACGCTGGCTTTCGGCGGGCGACGTAACGAAATAAACAATAGATCTGTTTACGCTCAAGGACACACGGGGGTTTTGCTTCGTCGTACCAGACAATTCGCGTGGGGAAGACCTCGCTGTTCAAACCGGCTAGACGCGTTTCTCCCTCGGCATTGTCGCGTTATTCTTTGCTCTCTTTTTTTTTTTTGTCTTTCAGTGAGCGCTATTATGGACTCGTTCGGAATAAATTCCGATCGAAGTAATTCCGTTTTTTTTTGGGAAGCACAATAGAGATCTAGGGAATGGCTGAGTCATTCCGACCGGAATCTATCTCGAACAAGGCTGTGCATAGCACTCCAGGGCTGTGTTAATAATTGTCATTTGAAACTTGTCCCATATGAGATACTCCGATCTTCATTCAGAATTATATGCAAATTTTTCAGTTGAATTATGTGATATATACGATATTATGACCCATGTTAATAATCGTCACTTGACTCTTGCTTCAAGTGAGATATTCAGATTTAAATCTAGTGTCAGACGCGAGTTTCTCAGTTCTGAATCGCAATTACAGATGCATGTCGTACATGATTTAAATGAAAAAAAATTCAAATCTAACTCTAAATTCAGATCTGAATACTTCACGTAAAACAAGTTTCAACTAACGACTATTAATGCCTAAATCTATGATTGCGATTGAACTGAGAAACTTTCATCCTAACTCTGAACTCAAATCTGAGTATCTCACCTGAGAGGAGTTTCAGATAACGGCTGCCTCAGTCGAATCGCTACGTATATGCATGTATATGTGTGTGTGTGTGTGTGTGCACTACGTAATTGATCTTACGATTAGTTTCGCCGCGCGTTAGATTAGATATGAAATGTGCAACGCGGATCTCCGGATGCTCGGGAGAGATTCGTCGCGTACTAATATATTGTGCAGTAATATTGTGCGGTTGGGGTGTTCTCGGCAAACCACTATGATACTTCTCGCGTCAAATTGGTTAACACATCGGCTACCGTGACGCCGGTTTTCTTAGGGATGCCCTACGCGTGACGCGTAGTGAACGACGTGTCAACTGCGGCTTTTGAAAACTCCACTAAGATTCGTTTTCTATGAGATAATGAGATAGAGAGAGAATTAATTCGTTTTTTTCTTTTTTTTTTTTTTTTTTTTTT